ATGATGTCACAGAGCACTGTTAACTTTCCACCGAAGTGGTACCTATTTATCTATTTGCATTTGCATGCTTTCGAACTGCTAGTTTTGCAGAAGCTGGGGTGTGGACAGGAACTCAACCCCATCACATGGCGCTCAGGTCTCAAACCTGGGCTGCTGGCTTTCCAGCTGACAAGCTCAGTATCTTAACCATTGAGCTACCATGCTCCCCATACCTTCTAGAGAATAAGCCCTATGAAATCAATGGAACATTTATAAATGGAGGGAGCTAGATTGAATATGAATAGCAGCAAATTTACATTAGAAGCAAGTCCTACTGAGATGGAAAGCCACAAATATAAAATCTGGATCTAGGGCTTAAACTTACCTGATTTTTATTTGAATTTAATTGAATTAGAGGTTTGGTTTTTCCATGAATTCGTGTGTTTATACCAATGCAAAGTATCTTATATCTTCAAATGTTAATCTGATGTTATCACGTGTTTTTAATATATATTGAATTTGTATATGTATAAAGGTATAAAATGATCAAAAATAATAAACTATTTAAAATTCAAAGCAAAGCAAAACAAAGCAGTTTATCATATTTCAAACTTTTTAATAGAAGAAAGAGATCATTAAAAAGTTTTGTTATAATTTGGTGAATAATAAAAACCACCTTCTCACCTGTTGATAATTCCTGAATATCAAGATCACTTTCTGGAGAGTTGATGTTTTCTCCCTATGCTCCTTCTTCTTTCCATCTTAAAATAACAGTTGGGGAAGATAGATATATATGTATGTCTCTTATATATCCCTGTATAATCTTTATTTACTGCTTTCTCAACTATTTTGTTATGTGCGGTCAGTTTCTCTGCTTCTTAATTTACAAGCAACTCTTCTCAAACCATTTAATGCAAGAGATCCATTTCCATCTGCTGCTTGTGCTTTCTTAATACATTTCTCACTTTTTTTTTTCAAGTTTCCATTACAGTTTTAATAGTTTTAAATAATTTTGTTTCCTTTTTCAATTAGCTTTTGCTTTGGTTCTCCTTTATGCTGATAATACTGACTTCCCTTCATCCAGGAATCGAAGTGCATTAAATTTTAAGTATTGTGCGTTTTATGTTCTCCTGCCCATGCTGTAGATAAGCTTTACTGAAATTTCAGAATGGAGTGGAAGTTTGGGAAATGTTCCAAACTTTTTTGTCTCAATGTTCCTCATGGTTAGCGAACAAGTCAATTTAATACATACTATGGAAAGATGCAATCTAACTGCAACTAATTCCTCACTTTCACGAATGAAACATTATTCCCATTCATTCATTCATAGTTTCACCAATGATTAGCCTGGAACTGTTTCCAATCTTCTTTCAAGACATGTATTTAAGCATTTACAAATAACAGTACAAGGACTGAATTACAAAACAGGGTGAGTTTACTTCTTTACAGAAGCAGTTTACTGCCTGCTTAGCAGGGAACTAAAATATTTTCACTTCATCTGAACGGATTTACTGCTTTTCATGTAAAGCTGAAGTTGTTTTGGGCAGCACAGATGGGGCTCCCTTCAGAGAAGCCAGTCAATTACTATGATTTTTCTTTCTTTCTTTCTCTCTGTCTCTCTATCTCTCTCTCTTTTTTTGGCTTTCTTCTTTAACAATTTTAATACTAGTTCATAAAAAGTTAGAGAGCTATACTTGTCCGAAGATTAGGCTTAACTTCAAAATAAAATTCACGCAAGTTCTTCTTTATAAAAATGGACAAAAGTTTAGAACTTCAGTCTTCAGTGTCAAAATAAACTGCAGTCCACTTTCTTGTAATGAAATTGTCTTTTCTCCAATTTCTTGGTTATATACACGGTTACGTTGTCCTAAAAGAGAAACATTTCTAGTCTTCTCTCTGGGCTGAAAAAAGAAAACATAATACAGAAGAAGAAACTAAAGTTATTTAAGAGAGGAGCTTTATTTTTATCTTATTAATAAAATTTCTGTACCACCCATCCTGCTTGCATGCCTCTGGGCCCTTGAAACAAAGGCTCTCTTTCTACAGACACAGATACGTGAATTTGAATTTATTTTCTAATCTTCTCTTACTTTTTTAGGTATTACTATTAAAACATAGGAGAGAGATGGACATATAGAACTCTTGATTTTTCTCAATCACTCTCTGCCTGAGACTTTTATGATAGAATAATCATAGAATAACAGAGTTGGAAGGGACCTTGGAGGTCATCTAGTCCAACCCCCTGTTTGAGCAGGAGAATCTATTCTAAATATTAGCCTCTACCTAGGATCGAACTCACAGCCAGCCTCCTGATTGTGAGGCGAGAGCTCCACCTCTAGGCCACCAGGACATGATGACAGATGTCCTTTCTAAAGAACTCCTAAGTCTCATCTGGAAGAAAATATTTTCAGGCATGGAGGCATACTTATTTCTGTAAGCTCCATGTGAATGTGTTGTGTGCACACATGAATGGGGGTGTCTGAATAGGTGTAGATATTGAGCGTTACAATGGCCAAAAATGGAATGCCATACATGGCCTGTGGGAACACCATGAGCCAATCATTTCTGACTCCAAGCTCAGTTGCAGTGTCTCTCTGCTATTGTGTGGGATGGCTGCCTCACAGAGATTATAGTGGGGTGATTTGTGGTGGATACAAACCCTGAACTTACTTTGTGCAGTGGATAAAGTATCAAGTCAGAAGAAAACTAGAAAACATAGGCGATAACATGTAATTTTGCTCTATATGAAAGACAATGAGAGCCAGTTTGATCTAATGGTTAAGGTTCGAAACCAGGAGGCTGTGAGTTCTAGCAGGAAGCTAGCTGGGTGACCTTGGGCCAATCAGACCCAGAAAGAGACAATGCCAAATCACTTCCAAAATCTTGCCAAGAAAATTGAAGGAAGCTGTTCCAGGCAGTTCCCAGAAGTCAAGACTGATTTGAAAGCACACATACATTCACAAAAGGCTATTGTTGATAAGAATTATATTAGGCATCCTACGCATGCTTACTGCAGAAGATCTCCTTTTCTTATTCCCAAGTCATTATGCATACGATTTTAACATTTCCCATTTTTATAAGGCATCTTTATTTCAATCCTTAATGAAGTCAGATAATATCTATTTGCCTTTTCATAAACCGACTCCGCATCGATTTACTTTGGGGCCTTTAAGATCCATTAGTGAAAATTTTGAAACAGGGATGACTTTAGTGAATGGCTAAACAAACAAAAAAACACCAAAGGGGTGGCTTATGTTCGTTCTAATGTGCATATATGTGCACTAACCCACATACAAATGCCATAAAAGGTTGGGTGCACACAAAATTAGGTACCCCAAAACAACAAAGACAACAAATTTAGGTACTCTAAAACTCCAGGCTTGCAATTTGCAAGGAAGCTTGCACTGGTTCACCAATTCAGTTTAATGAAGCAGTGAGAATCACTTTGGGCCAAAAAGCATGGACTGAGTCAGCATTCCTGGGGGAAGATGTCCTTTCCACTGGCAGCAGGCAGGTAGTCTTTTCCCAGCCTTGCAGTTGCAGCCAACCTTCTCTGGATCAGACCCAGCTAGAGATGTGCCAGGCATGGTCCCAGACCGGAAGGCACTTCCCTGTTCTCCTTTCAATATATCTATATCTATATCTATATCTATATCTTTGATACCTGTTAAATTTTGGGATGCACAAGGTCCATGCTTGCTGTTAACTTGATAAAACATTCATTTTTAAATTACTAATAATGAAAGTTTATATAAGTTTGGAGTAAATAAGAGCTATGGTGTTGCAGTGGTTAGAATGCAGTACTGCGGGTTACTCCTGCTGATTGCTGGCTGCCAACAGCTTGGCAGCTCGATTCTCACCAGCTCAAATTTGATTCAGCATTCCATCCTTCCGAGGTAGGTAAAATAAGAAACCAGATTTATAGGGGCAATATGCTGATTCTGTAAACTGCTTACAGAGTGCTGTAAAATGTATAGTGCAGTGTTGGTGGGGTGTCGCGGGTTTCGGTTCAATGTGCGGCGTGTGAAGGATGTGTGTTTGTTTTTACACTGAAGATGCACTGAAGATGCACTGAAGGTGCACTGAAGATGGTGTTTGATTTTGTTGTACGAGGTGCAATGACAATAAATTAAACTAAACTATAAGTCTAAGTGCTCTTGTCAGCCTCGGATCCATCTTGAATCAACTATTGCTATTGCTACATCTAGAGAAGTAATGGGGGGAAAAATGAGAGAGGAGGCTATCTAAATCCTTTCTGTGTAATGCTTTCTTCCACTATATCAAATCCCTCTAAAACATGGAGAAATAATTTTAAAGCTTACAAATATCAATTGTAACCAGAAATTATTAGTGATTGGCAGGATTATATTACAGTCTGTAAGAACATATATGTAGAGTCAATTTAATTTGATTTAATTTGGCACCGGTCTAGAAGCCAGGGCACTCTAAGTCCTAGTCCTATGTTAGGCAAAATACAGTTGTGGGTGTCTTTAGGCTGGTCCCTCTCCCAGGAGAAGGATGTGGCAAGCCACTTGTGAAAACTGCAGGAGACTGATCTTGGGAATAAAAAAAAAAATGACTTCAAATTATGACTTTTAAGAGTGTTTGTGATATCCTATTATACTTTATAGTTTCTGTACTATAACTAAGAAATATATAAACATTTTAATCTATTGCCATTTCAGGTATTGGCAATTTACATTACGGTGCACAAATACTTAGTTTGGGAAAAGCTGCAGAAAATAATTCCCCCCCCCCCCCAAACATATTAGAAATTAGAAGGAAAATTGATGATGGCTACAAAAGTTCAGTCAAAACATTGTCTATTTCTTATATGCACTGCCTGGGCACCCGTCATCTTGACTTTAAAAAACAACAACACTGCTTTTCAGCTAAGCCTTGATTGTATCCCAAGCCACCTATGCAGCTGTGTGGGTCATAGGAAATAACTAGGCTCAATGAAAGGAGTGCAGAAAGAATAAGCGAGGAGGATGCTTACCTCTTGCAGCTGGATGGTCACACTATGACCAAAGAATGAAAGCTAGAGAAAAAAATAAAAACAAAAATAAAAACTAAAAAAAGGGAGGAGAGGAAAAATGGAAAGAAAAAAGAGAGAGAAAGATTTTAAAGCAGACCTAGTAAGAAACCAGCAAGGAGTCTAGAATAAGGGGCCGTAGTCTGCCAAAGGTGTGAAATATGCTGGAATAGGACACTTTCCAAATTAATCTGTCCTTTAACAGATGTCATGTCTGTTGACATGAACACAACATATGAGAAAGACCGAAAATGCAGGATGGCTCAAAATTCCCATTTCCTTTTGCTCTGTCCCTATCCATTTCCAGCACATAATCCCTCTGGGCTCATTAATAGGATAGAAATTTAAGAAAATAACAGAGTTGGAACTTGGAAGGGACTATGGAGGCTTTCTAGTCCAATCCTCTGCTCAAGCAAGAGATCTATACATTTGGCAAGGAATTCTAGGAGTTTGTTGGTCCTTTAATTTCTTGCAAAAATAATGGTTTAGTAGTGCATCACACTGTTTTATCTGTATATCCAAAACCTGAAATGCTGCCGTTTCATTCACTTCCATGAACCATTCATCAGTAAGAAAAATCATTATGTTATGATTACTGGGACCAGATATTTGAAGTATACTTCAATAACTATGGTTTTAAATGAAGTTATTCATTTTTATGGGACTTATTTTTGGTGAAGAAAGGACAGTTTCAGGCTCCTTCTATTCCATTGTATCTTTTCTCAATAAAATTTACTAGCTAATCAACTTATTCAAAAGTACCAAATGTAACATTCTTTTTCTTTTTTAAAAAAAATTTTTCTAGATGATGCTTTATAGTCTATTACATTTACTTATACAATTCTTAATTTCATGGCTCTAGGAAGTTGGCAATGCTAACTGTAATGTTGAAAACACACAAGAATTCTAGTTTTCTCATTGTTTTTAGTTTTCTCATTGTTTCTAGTTTTCTCATTGCTTTTCGTTCTATTCTGATCAGGAACAGAAAAGAAAGACTTTGGGGATTATTGCACTTTGCTGCAGAAAGTTCGTTTAGAAGAGACCTGCAAATGTCTTGAAAACCAAGCGTAACACCCCCCACCCCAAATATTCTTCCTTCATGTTATCAAAAGCTGCATTTGCATTTTAACATTACATGTATTTTTAAAATGGTGTGTCCGAGATCTGCAAATGACTGTGTTATTGTCACTAGGCCATGAAAAACATAGAAGAAATGGTGTTGTTTTTATAGTTAGGAAGAACAGGGCTTGATTACAATGAAATAAATGACTAAATACAGGTAGTCCAACTGTCCTTACAACAGTTCATTTAGTGACCATTCAAAGTAATGTCACTGAAAAAAAGTGACTTATGCCAATTTGTCACACTTGCAACCGTTGCAACATCCCCATGGTTACGTGATCAAAATGCAGATGCTTGGTAACTAACTTATGTTTATGACGGTTTCAATGTCCCGGGGTCATGGGAACCCCTTTTGCAACCTTCTGACAAGCAGAGTCCATGGAGAAGCCAGATTCACTTAACAACCGGGTTACTAATTTACCAACTGCCGTGATTCACTTAACAACTGTGGCAAGAAAAGTTGTAAAGTGGGGCAAAGCTCACTTAACAAATGTTTTACTTACCAACAAAAATTTGGGGCTCAGTTACAGTCGTAAGTTGAGGTCTACCTGTAATATCAATTAAACTTCTTGGATAACCCTTTAATATGATGAGCATTCAAATTTATGCACTGATACAGAAGATCATAAGCCCAGTTTTAAATTGACAGAGCATACAAGCAAGATGTGCTGTTTATGACTGAGCTATGGTGGTGCAGTGGTTAGAATGCAGTACTGCAGGCTACTTCTATTGATTGCTGGCTGCCTGTAATTTGGCAGTTCGAATCTCACCAGGCTCAAGGTTGACTCAACCTTCCATTCTTCCAAGGTTGGTAAAATGAGGACCGAGATTGTTGGGGGCAAAAGGCTGACTCTGTAAACCACTTAGAGAGGGCTGTAAAGCACTGTGAAGTGGTATATAAGTCTAAGTGCTATTGCTATTGCTATTGGAGTCTGGAATGCCATAACAGAAAAAAATGTAGTTGGATTACATGATTTAGGAAATTTAAATGAAGCAGGAGACTGACTTATACATTTTTATCACACCAATGATTTATTTCTTCATAGCTAACACTATCTTCAAATAGCCACAATGATGAATTCTTACATGGATATTACCTGATGGAGTATATAGAAATCAAATTGGCTATATTGTTGCTAAGAGAATGTGGAGGAGCTCAGTTATAGTATCAAAGACATGGCCAAGTACTGACTGTGGAGAGATCATGTACTGTTCACGTGCATGCTCCAAGTTAAGCTAAGAAAGAAGAAAGCTGTTCAGTTTCCATAATATGATCTTGAATATATACCCACAACTTTCAAGGGGAACTGAAGACATCACCTTAAAATCCTGAACTTCATTGATAGAGAATCAGCTGGATTATGGAATGAATTTGAAGGACGGATGTGAAAAGAGACTGCTAAAAATGAAGAGAGAGGAGAAAGTAAAGTGCATGTCAGACAAAACCATGGAAATTGCCAAGAAGATAAGTCAAAGACCACCAAAAAGAAAGAAAGTAAGAAAGAAAGAGACAAACATCTCAGAAAGGGACTTCACAAAAAGTTTCAGAGAGCTGTTAGAAGACATAAGAAGCAGTATTACAAGTAAAAATATTGAAGATGGAAACAGACATGGAAAAACAAGAAAGCCTTTCAAAAGATCTCTAAACTCAGAAGGAAGCTCCAATTGGTAGGCTAAAGCAGGGATCCCCAACCTTTTCGACGCCGCGGCCCGGTTCTGGCGTCAGCTGGGCGCCGCGGCCTGGTTCCGGCGTCAGCTGGGCGCCGCCATCTTTTTT